TCCAGATCATTGATAAAGATATTGAACAAGACTGTCCCCCAAAAAAGATACTGAATAAGACTGGCCCCAAGTCACGAATTTGCTTTTTCATTTATTTAGTGTTTGGAGTTATACTTGTTCCTCCTTTGCAGAGAGATGTCTTTCTGAAGCTTTAAGTGTTCTGTTTGTTTTGAGTTGCTGAGTTACTGCAGTTCTGTGAATGGAGATTAACTATACATTTTGATAATTAATTCAGAAAGCACACCGTATTGATGAAATTTCTTAAATATCAAGCCAAATGAGAATTTCTATTGAACAGAGTAAGTTAATCTTGATATTAATAGCATTAATCTTGATAGCATCTCCTATCAAAGAGCTTTCTTCTTTTGGTTAGGAGATCTTTGTACTTGAAATCTGTGGTGCTGCTGCTGAAAACTTCTTGCACATCTTTCCTAAGCCTCTTTTTTTTTTAACTAGCCTTTAAACATACAGTTTGGCTTGAAGTTGCTCTTTGAGAGGCATTCTTTTAGCAGCCATGCCAGCTTCTGCAGCTTGATGCTGCATCCTTAATTGTGCTAGTAAAACTGCTTATACAGCTGCTCATTAAAGTGGATTAGGGAACTGAATTTGGTTAAGAATAATCAAACTTAGTTACTTTTTTGCCTTACTGCTTTTAACCTGGATCATTTCAATGAGCAGCTCTGCTGAATGGCCTGCAGTCATATTGATGCAAATGGATGGATAATATTATGATAGGAATGAAAGAGGGAAAAAATGGGAACTGCTTAAGGCTTTCTTTTAGCAGCTTATAAAAGGGAAAAAAAAACCCAAACCAACAACAAACCAACCCACCACAACTCCTTTTTTAAATAGGGCTCTTCACTTCCCTGCTTCGAAAAATGTCTGTTAGACAAAAAAAATACTCGCAGTGGTATAGATTTGTATAAACGTAGAACCTCTCTCTCCCAAACTCCCCAACAAATGAAACAACTTTGTAGCAGCTTAGATTTTTCTAGACTTGTTGGTTATGTAGACTCAAGCTCTTTCCTACTCGATAGTAGTGGAGAGTCTGTATAGGTTTATTAATCCTATGTTAAATGCATGAATAGTTATTCATTATAGTCTACTTATGTCATCCCAGGCGCCATATAATCCAAGAACATGAGAGTATTCAGGGTGCTAGGGCTAAGGGATGACCTGATTGCTGTCTATGACTATGTGATTAGAGATTACAGACAAGGTGGAACTGGACTCTCTTCAGAGGTGCCCAGTGATAGGGTGAAAGATGGTGTATACAAGCTAGATGGGCTTCAGTTATTATTCTGTGATTTTATACCTCCAGGAACACTGATGGCAGCAAGAAAATTGCTCTCCCTTGCTTTTCAAGTTAAAAGAATACAGTATGCAACTGTGGAATGTCCTTTTAGTGCTGCTTATGTGGTTCATCTGCTAACTTGTTTTTACTGAAGCTGTATGTCAGAATGATGTTTGTGTACTATATATCTGATGTGATTTTTTTTTTTCCTTCAGCAAATTTGACAGGCCATGCAGAGAAAGTTGGCATTGAAAACTTCGAACTCCTGAAAGTTCTTGGAACAGGGGGTAAGATGCACTGTTTTTCTAAGTTGAATGTTGGAAGCACTACTCTTAAGTGTAGTTTTGTTTTCTAGCTGAGATTTTGGTAATTAGAACATTCTTTAGGAAGATATAGCACCCTTGTATTGCATAGCATAATTTTCTTCACTTTTTTTTCTCACAAATATTGTGCAAAATTGGAGGTCACATGTTCTAGCTTACAGCACTTTTGAAGATGCACTTTTTAAAAAAAAGGAAAATAAATGAGTTGAGATTTATGACAATTTAATACAGTTTGTGAAAAATCTGATCTAAGTTAAGGCATGATCTTGATAATTTCATTAAATTTTCAGACTATGTTCTCATGAATTTCTGGAAAAACACAGTAATGTTAGTACATTATTGAATAGGATGCTCCACTCTAACTATATGTTTTAGTTGGCATTGGCTCTACTAGTCTTTTTCTGTCCTATTCAAATCCCAGTAATTTTTAAGATGGAAAATGTGCACTGTTGCATTGTGGATTCCAGCACAAGGTTGGGTATTTGTAGGATGTTGTAGGATTGCTGCCTGTAACCAAAAAAAAAGCTTTGTTTCCCCTTTGTTAAAGGGGGATACACACAGGCCCGTACAAAGACCAAAAGTTAATGGCTTTTATTCTTCTCAGTGTGTTTATGCATTTTTTTGTCAGTATTAACATCAGATGCAGTGTTGAGTAGATTGGGATAATCATGAAGGTGGACTATCATCAAGGTCTGTAGACGTAAGTTAGTTATGATATTGAATTTTGGATGTTATCAGCCATTAACAGCTAGCAGTGAGGCTATAATTGCACAAGCTGCTATATCACTGAAAAGAGCAAAGGGTTTTGATTTTCACATTTAGCTGTCATACAGATTCTTTCAAAAATTCATTAAGCTGTTAAATCACCTGAGAGTACATTTTTCTGTTTCTGAAGTAATTTTTTTTAAATTTAACAGGCTTAACAATTCAACCCTTGCTGCTAAATTTCAGTAGTTAGTGGTAGAGGCAAGGAGGCTCTAATATTCGTAGATATATGTTGCCTGTTCATAGGTAGAAGCAGCTATGCTGTTCTGAAGTGGTCAGTATTGGTCTGAGTGGGGTTCACAAGTGAAATTACTTAATAATTATGCATTTATGTGAGGATGACTTTCTCTCCTACTGATGGAAACATTGGCTGGATTTTTAATGTACGTGTGTGTATGTATATGAAAACCAGTCCCATACCTGAATTTCTTCCTCTTTCCTTACTACTGCCATTAGTCTGAGATCACCTTAATATTACAACTGTTGCATCTGGAATACAAAGTAAGTTTTGGTGGTTTCATAAGTGTTGGTCTTCAAGTTCAGACTAGTAGTAGCCTGACCTCCTCCTACTGCCTTTAGGCAGCACCTCTAAAATACCCCTTTTGCTGCTGTTAAACTGTTGTCTGTCATTCATTGCTACCTTCCACGCTCTCTCTTCTTCATGAACAGATTAGCCAAATTTCTTTTGGCCTGGGATACTCTGAATCATAGCAGGTAGTCCTTAGGCTCATAGTGCAAGGCTATCCTATTCACTCCAGTTAATAGGGTAATTTTTATGAGTGACCCCTTTCAGGAAGGGCTACTTCAATGGGTTGACAATGGGATTGACAGTATGTGTATGTGTGAAGGAAAAAAAAGCTGAGGAAGCATGCCTGTCTGTCTTCATCGTGCTCTAGTGGTCGCGTTGCTCCAGAAACATCTTCTGTCTTAGTAGACTTCAAACTATTTCAAGAACTGACTAAAAGATTTCTGCAAGCTTTAGGAATCCAAGGACACCTTGGGTATCCTGGAATGGCATTTGTAGGAAGAGTATTTTTTTGTCAAGGAAATGCTAGTCGCACTTTTTTAATATGTGTTTTCAATCATGGCCTGAGATTCTTGCTTCGATTAATCTAGACCATCAGGCAGTCAAGAAGCTTTGTTCAGTCATAAGTGTATCACAGCTAAGACTAGTGCACTAGGTATATCAGAGGTTGTGGCTTGCCAATTACTGGACAGCATTAAATGCAAATGACCTGATCAGAATGGAGCTAGATCTGTTTGCTTTTGGGGAAGTGACCAGCTGTGAATTGTCAGTGTTTGCAGTAACGTGGAGTTACTGAGAACAGGACTGGAATGGACTTGAAGAGGTTCTCTAATTGCTTGGCCCAAGACACAATCAGTTATACCTGCATCATCCGCGATGATTCGTTCTTAAAAGCCTCCAGTAGTAGAGATTCTGCAACCTTCCTAGATGTTCTTGCTGAGGATGCTTAATTTCCTAGCTTGAGAAGCATTCTGGGGATTGCAATAAGGAAAATTCCCCTCTCATTCTTGCAAGAGATTTCTGAAAGAACATTATTTCACAATAGGATATACCTGTGTTAAGGCATTTCTTCTGTAAATATCATCCAACAAATTTTTGATGCAGTTCTGAACACCATCTTCACTTTCAGTGTATTTCTAATTGTTATGGTCAGAAGAGTTTGTATCCTTTTCATTGACTTGACAGAGCAGAACAGAAACTGAAGCAAGATGTTGGCCATTTGGCTAAGATGATCCTGAAATGTTCTACTGTGAAATAAATTTTTGTGAGTATTGCGCCTGCTGTTACAGAACCACAGAGAACTTGTATGAATTGATTCTGGTGCTGTTAGCTTAATAACATACAAACTCCTTTGTAAAAACTTAGTTTTTAGAAAGTTCTAGAACGACCTTGTCAATAACAAGAATTATTGTGCAAGCCCTCCATCTTAAGTATGGAAAACCAACTTAAATGCCATAGACCTTGCAGTATCTGCTGCATGTGAAAAGTCTGGGGCTATACATTCAGTTATTTAGCTATCTTACTGACTGTATGTTTTTCCTGTGCAATGTACCTTGCTTAAATTTTCCCCACAACTTCCATAGCAAAGAGATGATTTTTCAAAAACTTTAGAAGATGCTAGCCGCCTGTTTGCATGCAAACTTTGCTAAAAGATCTTAGGTGTGTTGTGTCATGAGTTGTGGGGTCCTGTTTAGGCCTGCAACTTCTTGTTCTTATGCTTGAATTGAGGTTGGAGGAGTGAGTATGACTACTCTGACTTCTCAGTTCTTTGTACCAGAATATATGTTTACTTGGGGGAATGAGAAGAAACATAAAGAAAACTGTCTATAATCACAATAACGTAAGTCAGAAATATTTGGAATAGCAGGGTCTTATTGCAGACTTGTCTTAAATGATACTGTACAAGAGTAAGGCCTCATTTAGAACTTGTACTGTCTTGTACAAAACTACTCTTCTGCATTTCAGTTGTCCTTAGTCTTGCTCACAAAAAATGAAGAAAAAGTTCAGAAGATATTTGCACGCCTTCTGTATTGATAAGTAAGAGTGAATTATCTTGTTCTGTAGTTTTTATTTTATTAGAAAAAGAAAGGAGGATATTTTCTTCAATGTATATCTAACTAGGTTTTATCTATGTATAGTTGGCAATCTAATTATGGTGAAGCTAAATGTTATCCCTCTAAACAGTAACTGCCTGTTGGCTAGGTTGTAAGTTGCAGGTGCTTATTAGATGCCTTTTACCTTTCAGCCAGAAAAAAAAGCGATGATTTCATTATTTCAGAAATTTGAAGTATTTCAAGTATTTTTCAAGTGGTGTGTGTGTGTGTGGGGGGGGGGTTGTTGTTTTTTTTGTTTGTTTGTTTTCCCTTCGTTTTTAATCAGGGTCTGTGGGGAAGGCATGGTGATTCCTGGAACACCATGAGAGACCTCTCCAAACAGTCATTGTATCTCCATTAGTGACTTGCCACCAAATTATGGACAGGATGATAAGAACTATTTTTTTTTTGTTTTGGGGTGTTGGGGTTTTTTTGACAATTCTGAGAACTTCTCTGTTCTTTTACACGAGTAAATTCTATGAAGTTGAAGATGGGGCTGGGGGTTGAGGTCATCTTAGACAAATTGATTCACAGAGACAAAAGGGATACTACTGCTTTTTGGGGAGCAATTTAAAGAAAAATGAGGAAGAGGGCATCTGATGGCTTCTGTTTACATGTTGCTGTATATTTTTAGGCAAGAGCTATCTTTACTCTGGGAGTGAAAGCCTTATCCTGGTGTGAGCTTCTAGGTATTACTGATATTACTGTAATATAGCTAATGCTAAATAAAAGCTGTGATGCTGTTTTAAAATTCTTCACTGTGGAGTTGAGGAGCATGCAAAGTGTTTTCAAACCATCTGATACTTAAATGATCTACAGTAATGCAAGGCAGAATATATTGAAACCTCATAGTCATATTAAGTGATGACCGTAGATGCTATTTTAACTAATTACAATATATTAAATATAGTCTGCTATGAAGCAACTGGAATAACTAAAGAAGATACTCAAAATGTGTTAAACTAAATGATACCTTGCTTAAGTATATGTAATTGTGGTAATTTCATATAGACTTGGTGGTGGGGTTTTTTCAGGTAACAGCAGTGAAGGTTTGTTTAAATCTTCAGTTTTAAGTTTTATTTTTTAAAAAGACAAAGAAAATTAAGATTATTAGAAATAGTATCCTTCTCCTGTGGAAGTGATTTTTTTTTTGTGATAACATTTTCTCCATGCTATGGCTTAGCATAATTTCATACTTATTATTGTCTTCAATTTGCATTTCTTTCTTTCTTGCATTCCTTTATGTCTGGTTTGTTCTTGTACACACTCTCTCAATTGGAAGCATGCTTGTTATGTTTTGCTTTTTGGTGTTAAAAGAATATCATAGTATGCACATTCCTCTTTTGACCCGAGTCTCACAGGAAAAGACAAGCAAAAAACTGAGTTAGTAGCCTTTTAATCTGAGTTGGATCCTTTTACGTTGCATTAAGAAGTTATTAATAGAATAAACTTCCCCACTGAAGAAATCAGTAACACTTTACATCAGTAAAACAAAATACATGACAGTATGCCACTGTTAATAAAGCTATTAATAATGTACTTGTTGCTCTGGGAGCAAATTATTGCTTATTTGACGACTT